TTTTTTTTCACTGAAAATATTATATTAAACATGGTGAAATTCGATTTTGGAATACAGGAGTGGGATACGATTGTGAAATACGAGGATGAAATACACAGCCGATGTCAACAGGAACGACATCGGAGTCAAACACTACAACCAAAAACCAAACATAAATCTATTGAACACAAACTAAATCCCGAACCACAAAAATCCAATCAAAGCACACCTCAAAGGAACCAAATGCTAACCATCCACAAAATGACCGAATGAAGGAATCCATGCATCGGATCATACACTGCAAGGATAAGGAGACGAGGGAGCTGTGAACACCACGGAGCGACACACCGAAGCTCGAGACCAAAGCAAGCCAAGAAAGTGTGACAATAACCAAGACAAACCATGAAGAGGAGATCAACAATATCTAGAATAGAACCCAATCCCACCTATGAGAATTCTATTGATACACAACCCAATGCACTAAGACAGCTGTTGATACGCATCACCGATAGAAGAAACAATTGGAAAAAAAGTTAGAGAGAAAACTAAACCGATAGTCGAGGTAAGACAGCCTCAAAATCATCTTCTTCACTAGGAAAAAGTCACACTTTAAATCAGCCCCAAGACAACTCCTATCATAAGGCCTAGGTCCATAACCTCTTAGTTATTAAAAAAAAAAAAATACAAATACACTAACTTTTTTATCAAGCAATAGAAAATCTATTCTTATCATCTCACTATTTTTCTTTAAATTTCTCGTCTCCCACTTTCTCATAAGACGTACTACAGTACGACGATAAACACGCTTTTTATTTAGATGGTGTAAAGTTAAATAATTAATTTTTTTCTTGGATTGAGTAGACATTATTTATGTGATGATTATTGAAGTTTTTAAAATTGTTTGGTAAGAAGATTTATAAAGCATAAAAACTTCTTATATAAAGACAAAATATTATAAATCTTTTTAGATTTGGGTATGTAAACCTAAATATATTTGAAATTTACAAAAAAATTTATTCATATATCAATTTTTTTTCCAACTTTTACGTGGTATTATTGTTATATAATTATCAACTAATTATTTTTAAGATAAATTTTTAAGACTAAACTGTGCTTATCAACTAATTTTTATTAAAAGAAATAAGATTTATTTAACATATGTCAAAATCTAATT